TAGAGATTTCATCGCCGCCAAGCATCTGGAACACTCTCAGCTGACTTTTCCACTTCTGTCCGAGAAAAGTAAGAAGATAAGATAGTATTGGGCTCAACATAACATAAAGAATACTATTGGGCTCAAAAACAGAAAATAAAATTAAGTTTGTTTATGAACTTATTAGCTACATAGGCCCACTAAAAATCTGAACAAAACCACTTTCATCTATTATATAAAGTAATGTATCCCTTCTCCTAAAGAGTGCCACCTCAACTGCCAGGTCATAAAGTCCACGTCGGACGACATCTGATTCGTTTCGTTCTCTTTTGGCTGGGTAACAAACATGTTTGAACTTGGGCCATATCAATTTTCATGGGAAGCCCAATATATTTTGATTTGATTAACCCTCTCACATATATTTCCTCTTCGTGAGATGGACAACGCCGTCACAGCGACGATCGATTTTCCGGACACCGGCTACGTCGACGTAACGGTTGTCGATTAGATTTAATCAACACATTTAACTCTGTCATTAACACCACCTCGCCACTCCTCTCACGACGAGTCATTCATGCCCTCCTCCTTTCACAATGGTTTCTGAATCTAAATTATAAATAGGAGTCTTCAATTCTGTGAAATTCATCACTTTCTTCTTCAAAACCATAACAATATTCACACACCCACACTCCGGTAATGGCAACCTCTCCACATCTGCTCGCTGAATTGAAATCAGGGCGTCGTACCACCACCGATATCAATTTGCTGAGATTTTGGAAACCCGTTATGTGAAAAAGCGAACAATGATATGCTAAATATAGCATGATATCCAAAATGGCCGCCGGAATCAGTAACAAAATCCAATGAATTTACCAGAATTTTTATCATAGAATAGCTTTTATTAGCTCCTCTGTTCTTTTACTTCCTCTCTCCGCTTTTCCGTTCTACATTACTATGTTCATCTCTCTGACCTCAAAATCTTTGGATCTATCTTTCATGTGGTTATATAAATTGAAACTTTGTAAAAAGATCAAATACAAATCAATAGTATCTTGGCAGAGAGAAAAGATTGAGTTTCAGAGCACCATTGTTAATTCTTTTACTGTCATCTTTGCAATATTTGTGGAATTAATTTAAGAATAGAGATTTGGGTGGGGTGTCAATGGCGAATTAGGCGATGGTGCCAGCTCCTCCCTATTGTTGTCATGACTCTACGGTTTACTACTTTAACCAACACAAACCAAACTCAAAATACTTAAGTTGTTAATTGGTTATTACCTGACGGTTCACTTCTACTTCAATGTAGAAAACAATTTATATCAGCTAATATTTTTGACAAAGCAAGTTATAAAAACAGCACTAGCCCCCACAAAGAAAAACTACTAGCAAACTTAATATATAAACAAAGATCCACAGCGATACCATTATATATACAAGATAACCACACTTAATTCAATAATATAGCTCAACTACAAAAATTTAAAAACAATTATAAAAATGTGATTTCCATTTTCAATCGTCCATCGATCAATTTAAACTTACACAAACAAACCAACTACATAATGAGTTGCAACCAACCTCTACAATTGGATTTGCTTATTAACAATCATACATTTGTATTGAAAAATATAAATGTCACACTGAATAGATTACTAGCCCCGCCCATAAAAAGTAATTAAACTAAAAAATAATTAAACCAATCTAAAAGTCATTACTATAGCTGTTATTATTATATAAGTTAAACAACTCCTAATAAGTCAACAATAAATTTTAAAATTAATCAACAAAACGTAATTTTATTATTAAAAATTAAAAATAATTTTAATAATAAATATTATATAGAGTATAGGAAGTGGTTTTAATATGGGGATTAACAATAAAGCATGACATATTTGGTTCGAACCTGAGATGTGGAAATGAAAGTAAAAACACTGAATTAAATTTAAAACACGATCAATACATATTTTAATTGTTTACTTTGGATGTTTATATTATTTTATTTAAGAAGGGAAAACCTTAGTTTTACATATATGTGCATTATCATGTGATATCACAACTATAATATATTTAAAAGCTACAATGCAAAATATTTAATACTTTGGTAATAATGGTCATTATAAAGAAAATGGTGTATGAAAAAGTTGAACAAAATTTTTTGAAATGGCATATTTTCAAACATCCGTAAAGTTATGAAATCGTTGGTTCAAAAACTGAGTAAAAATTTAATTTGTTGTCTATTTAACAATATTTAACCAAAAAAATTATATAAGCGAGCAAAAAAATATTTAGATCATGGGTCCAATTAGTTTGGTTATAAACTTATAAATATAGAAAATTTGTTGAAAGATGAGAGTTTGTAATTTTTAGTGATGTAATTGTAAGTGTTTTTACGTAGAAAATAATATAACATTTAAATAATATAACATTTAAATTGTTGAATTTATTTTTTAAATATCAAGAATCCGATTGTTACGGACTTTCATTTTAGACTTTCACTTTAGAATTTTGACTGTAAAAAATATGACTTTAAAGACTGTAAGGATTTTGCACAAAATTAACTACTATTAAAAACACGTAAATGCTAAAATTATATCACAAATAAAAAATTCTTATAAATAAAAAAAATATAATCACTATTTAAAATATAATTATTAAAAAGATAGAGTTTTCATTATTGATATATATAACTATAAAGCATTATAAAATGAATTTCAAAAGAGAAATAATTATACATTAATTAGTCAATATTTTATTTAATAAAAATAATTTAGTATAAGAAAATAAGTTCGAAATAGTTTGGGGGAAGAAAAAGAATAATAATCATTTTCAAAATAAAAAGCAACGGATCATTACGTGGGAGAAGAGTAAAAGCATGGAAATGAGGGTATTGCCAAATACCATTTTTGAAGAAGAAAAATGAAAAAAAAATAACTGAAAGTGACTTTTGAGATTTTAGAAAAATTTAAAACCCTCAAAGCATAATTGGATTAAAATGGCTTTCTAGACTATTGAATATCTTAAAGTTTTCAAAGTCTCAACTTTAATCGGAACCTTAAGTAAGGTTATAGATCTAAAGTGGAAGGATCCATTAAATTATTTAGATACTAATTGGAAATAGAAAATATATGAAGTTGTAAGTGAAATGAACATATCTATAGTCCAACCAATCAAACACCATAACTAAAATTTAATTAATATTTATTCATCACCTTATATATATTTTCCAATAAGAAAAAATAATTAGATGCTGAAATTTGAAATTCGTAAGACAAAACAATGAAATTTTAAAAAATAATTTAATAATTATAACTACTTATGTTTATATAATAGATCATACTTAAATAAACATACAAAATATATAATTAAAATTATAATTTAAACAAAAAACCCGGGCGTAGCCGGGCGGGTCCTAGTATTCTATATAATTTTACACAATACTAAGTTGAGGTTCATACGTGATATAATGCATTATTTTGTTAAATTAATATAGATAATAATTATTAAATAAAAGTTCCATCAATAAATAAAAAACTTGCAAACTGATACATTACTGATTTACATTGTAATCAGCTATTTTAATTATGGTTTCTAATTCATTAAAACCCAAAATTATATATTTAAACATTTTATTATTTGGTAAAAAAACATCTTATACTAAAATAAATAAATAAAATAACCAGTGAGTAAAGTAAATTAAATCAAAATGTCTCATAAACTATGTTACTGGAATAAATTATATTCAGAATATTTCATTTACGAAATTTAACCTTCTAAATTTCTATTAGCATACAAATATTTAATTTAAATATATTCCAAAATATATTTTCACATTTAATGTAGATATTTAATATGTTAAGAGTTAAAAAAATTACTTCGTTATTTTTGCAAACTATCAAACTTCTTAAAATTTCTAATTATTTACTTTATAATTTACACACCAAAAAAAAATTAATCAATAGTATATCAAAAAATAAACAAAATGCACACGCGCTAAATATAAAACAATAGAATTTTTCTCTGCAGATCCTATTTTTATGTAAGCTAAATATAAACTCTCCAATTCCTTTTTCTTCTCAAAAAAAATAAGTTAAGTTGAATATTTCTTTGCCATGATTTTTCATCTCCTATATAAATTAATCAACTTCCATCTCATTTTTCTATCTTCTGTAGTCATTTTTTCTTCGTTACGTTTTTCTTAGAAATCATCAAACAATCATCAAGATATAGAAATTTTGTTTCCTAAAATGTAAATATTCATGATATATCTTTAAGTATATATCAGCCTATGGCTTATGCATTACTCTACAAAAAATATCTCTGTGTTTTTTATCTCTTATATTTTTAACTACTTTTTTTATATCTGTGGTAGATGGAAGGACAAAATATTAAAAAAGAAGACAAAGAAACTACACACGGAGATGATGATCTTGGCGATGTTTCCGAAAAGAAGATTAATCACCGTTCTCAATATCAAAATTGGATGGAAGCTAATAGTAAACACGGAAATAACTCCAGTACAAAAGAATTGTATTATCTGAATCTTCTTTTGAAAAAGATCAAAGGACCGACAAGCTACGAGAATATTCGAACTGTTAATGGATTTTTGTACCCTACATTTGAAGAGGCCTATAATGCTCTTCTTATTTGAACTACATTTTATCTATATAAAATTTATATTTTTCAGTTACTTATTTATTTGTAGATACAAAACTATATAATACTAAAAAAAAATTAATATTAAAATAAAATAGAATTACAAAAGCACACAAAAAATAAATTGTTCAAAAAAATTATTAAAAAAATATACCCGCCCTTTCAAGGGCGGGTCAAAATCTAGTAGAAAATTAAATTTAAACTGTCTCGGAGACACTCACGTGTTTCTGTCTCTTCGCCTGTATAATATTCTCACCACGTTTTGTGTCCTTTCCCCCTAAAGAAAAAAAAAGATTTGATTTTTTTTGTAGGCTTTAGGTGGTTCTTATCGTTTCCTCAGTGTCTTTCATTTCAATGAATAAAGCAGATACATTTCTTTTCACGTCACTCAGCAAAAATCTACAATTTTTAGAAAGTTTTCTGTAAGTGGAAACAAATACAGGTAGGCGTTGAGAGACAGGATATGGGCAAAAATAAAACTAATAATTGATTTTACTCCATTTATGGCCTTATAAAGCTATTCTCTTGGCTCTCTATGTTGAATCTTTATCATGGTGGGTTCTACTTATTAAAAGTGTAGAACTTTTGAAGTGTGTTAGGCTGAAGATTTGAAGTTAACAAACAATGGATCTTAATTTTGGAAAATGCTGTGGTTCTAAAAAGGTTTGTAGATTTACTCTTTGAGGTATGTTCAGTTTTTAGGAGGTTTGGAATCTCCTGATGTGTGTTTTACAAACTATGCAGAAGGAATCATGGAGGTCTGTTTTGCTTCTTGCTTATCAGAGTCTTGGTGTTGTCTATGGAGACTTGAGTATCTCTCCTCTTTACGTCTTTAAGAGCACTTTTGCTGCAGACATTCGACATTCAGAGACTAATGAAGAGATATATGGTGTTCTGTCTTTTGTTTTCTGGACTCTTACTTTGCTCCCTTTGCTTAAGTATGTCTTCATTGTCCTTCGTGCTGATGATAACGGAGAAGGTGAGAGAGTCTCTCTCTCAGACCAGAGTTCATCTGTTTGCTTGTTGTCTATCTAGTTATGTTAAGTTTTGTCTCAGGTGGGACTTTTGCTTTGTACTCACTGATATGCCGTCATGTCAAAGTTAGCCTGCTTCCAAACCGACAAGTAGCTGACGAGGCACTATCCACTTATAAACTGGAGCATCCACCGGAGAAGATCCATGCCTCTTGTGTGAAAAGATATCTGGAGAAGCACAAGTGGTTACACACTGCTTTGCTGATTCTTGTTCTTCTTGGGACTTGTATGGTTATTGGAGATGGACTTCTCACTCCAGCTATCTCTGGTATGGTTGCTTCTCTGTGTTTGTAGATACCTTGAATGCTTAAATGAGTTTTATAATCTTTTATTTTTCTTGTATGTAGTTTTTTCTGCTGTGTCAGGTCTTGAGATGAATATGTCTAAAGAACATCACCAATGTAAGAACACAAAGTTACCTTTGTTGCTCCTTGAGTTATGATTGAATGTGCCTTTGTTGATCGAACATGCAGATGCAGTGATTCCTATTAGCTGCTTCATATTAGTCTGCCTTTTTGCCCTTCAGCATTTCGGGACACATCGTGTTGGGTTTGTTTTTGCGCCTATTGTCCTTACTTGGCTGGTTTGTATCAGCGGTATTGGCTTGTACAATATAATACAGTGGAATCCTCATGTATACAAAGCGCTTTCTCCTAAGTACATGTTTATGTTCTTGAGAAAGACGAGAGTAAGTGGATGGATGTCTCTAGGCGGGATCTTGTTGTGTATAACTGGTTAGTTATTAGAAACCTGTTGGTCTCATTAGATTGCTAGTAAGATGAAATCTAACTCTTGGAGTCTTTGTTTAAGGTGCTGAGGCCATGTTTGCTGACCTTGGTCATTTCAACTACGCTGCGATTCAGGTAAGTTTCTATGCTTTATTTGTTGTTATAACGCTACAGGTTTGAGTAGTTCTTTTGTTTTGTTGTAGATTGCTTTTAGCTTCCTGGTTTATCCAGCTCTCATATTGGCATACATGGGACAAGCTGCTTACCTATCCCAGCATCACAACTCTGCTCACGCCATTGGGTTCTACGTCTCTGTGCCAAGTCAGTAGCTTAGCTTACCTTAAATTTCAAGAACTGAAGTTTTGCTATGTGGTCTAATCTTCTTTTTTTCTTTTTTTAAATCCTTGGTTTTGATCAGAATGTGTGCACTGGCCTGTGCTTATGATAGCAATTTTTGCTTCTGTTGTGGGAAGCCAAGCAATCATAAGCGGCACTTTCTCAATAATAAACCAAAGCCAGTCTCTTGGATGCTTCCCTAGAGTCAAAGTCATTCACACCTCTGACAAGATCCACGGTCAGATTTACATACCTGAGATTAACTGGATGCTCATGATCCTCTGCATCGCCGTTACTATCGGTTTCAGAGATGTCAAACACTTAGGAAACGCATCAGGCTTGGCTGTAATGGCGGTTATGCTAGTGACAACATGTCTTATGACACTAGTCATAGTTCTTTGCTGGCACAAGCCACCGATCCTAGCCCTCATGTTCCTCCTCTTCTTCGGATCAATAGAACTACTCTACTTCTCAGCCTCACTAACCAAGTTCCGTGAAGGCGCTTGGCTTCCCATACTCTTATCACTCTTCTTCATGATCATCATGTTCGTTTGGCATTACACAACAATCAAGAAGTACGAGTTTGATCTCCAGAACAAAGTCTCTCTCGACTGGCTTCTCGCGTTAGGTCCAAGCCTAGGTATCTCCAGAGTTCCAGGCATAGGTTTAGTCTTCACTGATTTAACCTCAGGTATCCCTGCAAACTTCTCCAGGTTCGTAACCAACCTCCCTGCTTTCCACCGTGTGCTTGTGTTTGTCTGCGTGAAGTCCGTCCCTGTCCCTTTTGTTCCAGCCGCTGAGAGATACTTAGTGGGCCGTGTTGGGCCAGTGGACCACAGGTCTTACCGCTGCATTGTACGGTATGGTTACCGTGACGTCCATCAAGACGTTGACTCGTTCGAAACAGAGCTAGTAACCAAGCTTGGAGACTTCATACGTTATGACTGGCACAAGAGAACTCAAGAGGAGGAGGACACTGTTAGGTCAAACGAGGGCTCAAGCGAGTCAAGACTGGCTGTAATAGGAACCGTAGCTTACGAGATAGAAGAGAATCTTCAGCCAGAGAGCGTCTCCATAGGTTTCACTACAGTAGAGAGCATGGAAGAGGTCATAGAAATGGAGCCAAGAGCCACCATAAGACGTGTTAGGTTTGCAGTGGAAGAAGAGAGTTCATCATCATCGTGGGGAGAAGCAGAGGCGGAGCTGAGGAGTGAGCTGAGTGATTTAGTGGCGGCGCAAGAGGCTGGGACGGCGTTTATATTGGGACACTCACATGTGAAAGCTAAGCAAGGCTCGTCTGTGATGAAGAGATTGGCTGTTAATTTCGGTTATAATTTCTTGAGGAGGAACTGTAGAGGACCTGACGTGGCGCTTAAGGTACCTCCGGTTTCTCTTTTGGAAGTAGGTATGGTTTATGTTGTTTGAGTTTAAGAAAAAACATGTAAACACACAAAAGCTAATTTGTATGTTCACTGTTGTATATTGGTGACGTTTAGCTTCTTTCTTTCTCTGTTCATAGATCCATATGTGTGTTAGTGTTTTGACTTTTTAACCAAGATGGTCAGTTAATCCTTTGTTTGATAATCTGTTTTAGACAAAATGATGACTAATCGCCAATGAATCCCCTGTATATTAATAGAGAAGTGAATCCCCTGTATATTAGTAGAGAAACATTTAAAAAGTATTAACATGTAGTTTGTACTAATTAAAAAGTGTCATGTTGAATTGTCATATAATTAGAATGTTAATTTTGTTTACATATCTAATTGAGAATCAATTGAGAATTTTATTAGTTCCAAAATTAAATTGTTAAGGAATGTTGTATTATATAGTATATTTATTATGCACCATTCATTTATCAGTTTGTTTTTTATTTCTTAAAATTTATATTTTGTATGTAGAATATCCTACAATTTCTTTCTTTTCAATTTTCAGGTAAGTTTGTTGAATTCCAGGAGGGTTTAATTTACAAATAAACCGAATTTTATTTTAAAACCGACTGTTTTTGTTTTGTTCAACTCATAAATTCAAACGACCATAACATTGTGTGGAATATCACAAAGGCTCTCATCACATAACACAAAAATAGCAAATGTTTCCTTTGTGTAGAGTATAACACAAGGCTCTCATCACACAAACACAAAATAACAAAGTCTTATTCACTCATGTTTACTTGGGCATATACACTTAGGCGGCAGAGAGAATCTTAAGCTTCTTGTAGCAATTCATTTGCTTTGTTTACCCACACGTTATAAATATCGTCCTCGGACAAAACAAAATACACCTTTATAAGAATGACAATACAAGACTGTAAGAAAATGTCATTTGAAAATCCATGCAAGTGTAACAATATGGATGTGAGAAGCAGCCGTTACCTCTTTAAAGTCATTGGCGAACTCTTTGATTGTTGATATAGCAATCATAGCAGCTTCATCTTTAGGATATCTTTAACAACAAAAAACAATACATTCTAAGAGCAGACGCAATTAGGAAAACGACTTAAGTCTCTGGTTGTGATAAGTTTACCCATTAACTCCACAAGATATGGCAGGAAATGCAATGTACTTGATGTTGTTTTCCTTTGCCACTATAAGACAATTTCTGTAGCACAACATAGAGATGAAGTGACTTATTTTTAGAAGAAACAAGTCAGGTAGGGTAGAACAAGATCGAGAAACTGTTTACCTGTAAGAACCGGCGAGGGATTCTCTAGGGTTGACGTCTGAATCATAGACGGGTCCAACAGTATGAATTACATGAGATGCATGCAAGTTGAAACCCCTGTTCCATTTTTATAATCCAACATGTTCATTTATCAACTATACCTACTTCAAAATACCTCCATCTATTAAATAAATAAGTAGTAAAAGAGTAACCCTAAAAAGAGGAAAAAAAAAGAGTAACCTACAGAGTGATTCTTGCTTCACCAGTTGGACAACGAACTCCAGGACGAACTTCAGGTACGTCAAAGCATGCTTCTCTCAGCTGTGGCCCAGCAGCTCTATGTATTGCTGTCACATATATACTTTCATTTGCCTTTAGATTTCAGATTTTTGGTCACAGTTTATGTAAACACATATACAATGGAAATGGAATTGGTAGAAAAGTGAAAGAAGATAAGACTCGTTACAGTTACCTCCATCCACGCCACCACCACCTAGCATTCGCTTATTTGCTGTATTGACCTGAAGAAAACATACTGCCTAAGTCAAACTAACGATGAAGCGCTAGCATCAACGAAATGATATGAGAGACTATCAACCATTTTGCATCACAAACCTTCAAGTTTCATCTAATTTTGGATTTGAATTGATTGAGAAGAAGAGACTTACAATAGCATCAGAGGACGCATCCACTGACCACTCAGTGATGTCACCTTGAATGATCTTGAGAAGACTAGAATCAGACAAACTGAAAATAGCTCCAGAAGCCATGGATGAGATGAGACAGTGAGCACTACACGGGAAGTCCTATTAGAAGAAGAAATGATAATCACATTTCATGTTTTTGTATCTTTTGCCTTCTATAAGTTTTTGCATTTAACCAGTGAATGAAAAATAAAGATCAAACTTTTCTTACACCAAAGCGATTTATAATTAGTTAAAGAGGTTCACTAGCAGCTTGAAATATAGGAATGCTTACCAACAACAGGAGTTAATGTCTACGGTGAGATTGAATCGTTACGAATGATGTTAATTAATTCATGAGATTGTAAGTATAACATATATAATCTAAACATAATGTTCATTGTGACAGACATGCATCCACGTTCTTATTCCAGGATGATGACTATTTCAAAATTACAGTTTTGCTTTCCATGTCATTCTGAGTTGTTAATCATTAAACACTTTTTTTATTACCAAATATAATCATTACAGACGATCACAAGGCTTTCAACGCACAACACAAATATTAAAATGGCTCCTTTGTGTGGAGTATTTGACAATTAATCATGCCTACTTAGGATGCAGGAGGAATCTTTATAAACTCTTGATATTGTTTATTCTTGGCTCAAACATGAAAGATGTATTCATTAAACTTTAAAGGATCAATCCATCACCTGAAGAAACAGCAATGGGTTCTTTACGTGGTTATCGACTTGTACCAGACCGTTGACTCCAAAGTCAATAGCTCTTTGTTGGTTAATATAAATTCAATTATTACGTTCTTTATATGTATTTGACTAACAGATAGTTGAGTATATGACAATAAACATGTAAAATTAAATAAAAATTTGCTCTTCTTAAGTTCTTAGGCACGATAAATACAACCATTGAAAGCTAAGCGGGTGCTTATGAGCCACCTCAGCAATACGCAGCCACATCAGCAGTAGCACACCAAACATATGGGAGGATGATGGATAAGACTTCTCTCAGAAGTCAGAACTGACCACCTTCGAAGGTTTGTCCAAACTGCCAGTTAGAAGGAGCCACGTCATTGCTAACAACGGTGCGGCCATCACTGGTTGTGACCTGGAAGGACAGGCTCTGGTCGTTGAGGTAAGAATTGCTCTGCCAGTTTTGTCCCCAGTTCCTAGACATTGCTTGCCACGACCCTGTTTTTGAGCCTCTGATCGAGACAGCGTGAACGTCTCCTGCTCCGCCTACGTTCGAGATCAGAACAAGGTTGAAGTAAGAGTGTCCGTTGATAGTAAACCTTATCCCTCCTTTCTTCATACACGGTACTCTGCACTTACACGTCCTAACTCATTAGTCTAGTTTTAAAGAATTAACTAAGATACCACTAAAACTTTTTTTCTTCTCAAAATTAGTATATAAGAAAAAGATTTTCCAAATAACATAAACTAAACCTTTTAATTATTTTCTATTTAGATTTGAGGTTTTTTTTTAATTAGGATTTACGGTGTAGTAATATAAAGACTAAACTTATTTATACTATTTTGGAGTACTTTCTCTTTATATGCCATTTTGTCATAATTTTTTTTGTATTATCTAAAGGATTTTTTCCTTTCTTTTTTTTTTGGAACACGTCCTTAGTTTTAATTGTTTGTTTGCATGTGGTTATTTTTCCTTTTTAAAAATATTTTCCAAATCTACTCTATTAAAATAGAGTCAATATTTTTATCTACTACAAAGAAGTCATATAGGACCATTCATTAATTACTTAGTATGACATATTAAATTATTTAGGTTAATCAATCAGATATATATCATATATGCTGAAAATAATAGATTTATATTTTATTTTTAGTTATAACAGAATCGGTTGAGAGAAAATCTAACAAAATCTTACTAAAAGTTTAAATATTTTTTATTAAATAACATAATAATGAATTTCGTAATTAATAATATCATACTATTATACATTAATATTAATTAAAATTTCACTATAATAACAAAAAAAGAATCCTATACTATTTTATAAATTTCATATTATAGTCTATGTTATATTAAAATAGAATTGCACTATGAATTAAATAAAATAAATAAAGTTGGTAAATGAAATTTTATTTTAAAATTTATTTCACTTAAATAAAAAAAATTATTCACCATTAAAAGGATTAACATCATAAATTATGTATATTTTTTATACAAAAATGTTAGCATAATGTTAAATTTTTACTATATCTTATTTTTTACTTAATTTAAAACTCACAAAAACATATTATCTAAAATGATTATATAAAAAGTTATAATAGTATATAACTAACTTTTAGTTCATGTGTTATTTAAAAAAGATAGGATATCAGAAAGTTTTACTAATTCAGAAGATATTAGTGAAAAATATTTTCACTGAAAATTTAATATTTTTATTTTAAAATAATATGTTGAGAAAATATAAAAATATAAAAAATATTTTATATTAATAATGTTGAATAACAAAGTAAAAAATTAAAAATATTATATATTAATAATGTTGAATAAAACCTACAGCAATTAGATTATAAATTTACACAATATATAACATAAAAATATAAACTATATATTTAAAAGATTACATTAATTTTAAATAAATTTTTAAAAATGAAAAATATACCTACACGAACTTGCGGGTAAAAACTCTAGTTAATCAGTATTTTTTAGTAAACTGTAGAAAAACTGACATATGCACATCCTTCTATAGCGTTTTGAAACAATGGCAATATTTGTTACTTGTGACCCAAGTACCAAAAAAAAAGTTAAACGGACCTTCTGAAAGAGACAGGGACAATGCCGGCACGGTACTGAGCGATTTGTAGAAAAGCTGGTTCGGCGAGGTCGAAATGTTGAAGAGGAGGATTGCACCATCCTCCATTATCGTTTGAGAGGCCAAAGTTCGGTGGACAAAAGTTTGTAGCCGTGACGGTGATAGTGGAACCGAGACACCATCTCGGGTCATCGTTACACTTCATCTCGTAGCACGCGCCGCACGTGAGTCCGTTGTTGAACAGTGCCGTACTTAATGCTGCCGTGTTCGTCCCGTAGCCTTGGCTATACAGATTTCCATAGCCACAAGCCCCACCTGGTATATTTAGGTTTGGCCACGAGTTAGCTAAGAGATGAATGTATAAAAAGATTAGGTTAGCTAATTAATATATGCATATATTAATTTCCTTGGTCATACCCATGGTGCCGGACGCGTCTCCGCCACCGTAGAACGTGGCGTGACCACCTTGCCAACCTCCATCGTCCCCATGAGTTCCTTGGAGGGAAAATAATAAGCTGAATATGGATAATGTTGAGATTATAGAATATTTGGAAGCTGATGTAATATACATTTTTTAACTTGTTGATTAATTCGGTTTTGAGTATTGGACTAGATTTGGTGAGAATAGTGAGACTGATGTGGAATCAAGAGTGGATGAATTGCATGAGTTTATATAGGGAAGTTTTGGAGTTTATAATAGTGGCAGTAGATAATATAAAATATTTATATTGTATAATATATGTGGACAATATATTAAACATTTAGTAAACTAAAGGAAAATGGTGTATTTATGATTTTATAAGATCAGGGGGGACTTTGAGGGTTGTGGCCATATGCAAATGTTGCGGCTAGACCAAATGTGATTCGTAACCAAGTGGCTCCTACTTGCACATGCTTCAGCACAAGTCTTTATTAGCTTGTCTCTTCCTTCATTTAGCGATTGTCATATGATCATATCTTTTATGTGTATTGAAGATCATACACATCAATAACTTCAGTATGTTCAAAGCTACTCATGCAGATTTTAACAATCTCAGAAAACATTAGTTTAAAACATAATTAGATCAAAACGTTTTATGTTGCAAATGATCCATCCGCACGATGAGAATCTTTATGGTCAATTAAGGTGAACATGGAATAGGGAAGCAATTATACCAGTCGGTAATTATATACTGTATTGTTTAAATATGTATTTCATTCTAATATTTATCGATACGTTTTAGTTTAGGGGCTTGCTAACGAGTATTATTTTGCTTTAGCTCTAAAATAAATATGGATTTGCCAAACATTCGCAACAGTGATTGAAGTGTTTCAAAGACTACATGAAAATTTTGAGGATATGAACCTATCTCATATTTTTTAGAGTAGCAATGATCGAACAGACGCTTTAGCGAAAGAAGCAATGATTACATCTTCTCCCATATGGATCAGATCCGGACAGATAAAGATGCTCAACTCGTCTGTCACCACTTGATCTAAACCAGATGGAGAGTTGATCAAAAAAACTGGATTGACTAGAGAGACCACTAATGAATAAACAAAATATAGCAAGTGTGAAGGTAGACGGTCCTACCATGTTACAGCACATGCAAGACGCTCTCGACGTGTGAGGATCCACCCATGCATATTTCTGATACGTCGTTTTCGTGGCCCTTTCAAGTGTCTTCTACGTCCAAAACGTAATCAACTTATCATCTATGTGGTTCGTTTTTAACCAGGTTCCTTCATGATTCCCTGAAAATGCAGAAATGTGTATTTATCTTGGGCAGGAAAAAAAACACATTACACTTTTAGAATTTCAATTGTAAAATGTGTTTCAGTAGTATTCAGCATACCATCATGACATCTATAGAACTACAACATTAATTGCAGTTCGTCTGAATTGCCAACCAGACACGGATCTCTACTGAAGTAGGAAGAGCAAGAATTTGACTGAAACCAAAAAAGGGACTATTGAATTCTATCCACAAAAAGGTCACGTGAGATCTATCCAAAGTGTAGCAAAAGAAAACCAAAAGGGACCACACTTTAAGCAACCATCACAAGGGGCTTGTCTCTTAGTTGCCCCGAAACTGCTGGGACTGGCCATACATAACTACGTGTCTGAAGAATTGTCACTGTCCCCAAAATAACGTCATTTCAATGACCCAACTTCTGAGCCGACACAAGATAAACTCAAGTGCAGTTATGTTTAAGCTTCTCTGAAGATATAGTTCATGGATTCTCATGTGAGAATTTAATTTTTTTTGTTTGCTAGTTAGGATACCGTTTGAGTGGCCTGAACATGACTAGCTCGGTTCATGTAATATGAGTCTTAACTTTTTAAAGGCAAAGCCAAATCCAAATACAACCAACGTTTACAGGAATGATTGAAGAAGTAAGAACACTTAAAGAAACATTAAAATAAATATCTAGTTCAACTTTGATAGATCCCAAGGAAGAACAATACGAATCAAAAAAATCAAAACACCTGTGGTCTCTATGTTGAAACACCCTCACAAAGAAAATAAGAGTTTTACAGAATAAAAAAATGAATCAGACGGCCACAAAGATGTCAAAAGAATAGGATTATCGACAAAGCGAAACATGGAAAAGACAGAGCTTCACATGGTGCTACTGCTTTCACTGACGGTGTCAGACCTACCAAAGTTCGAGCCTCTGCCACAGCTGCTAATGTCAAGCCCCTGTAACCGGCCAAGAGGATCTTCATTCATTGCCTCTGCAAAGGAATGAGACTGACCCGAGGCGTTAGAAGTAGTCTGATGCATAAGCTGAGGGTTTTGGCGAGAGGCTGAAGAAGTAACGTTTGGGTTTTGGTTATTGTTATTATTGGGCTGGAAGAGATGAAACTGGTGAGTCATCTGTTGAAGGTTTTGAGCATCGGTTTGTTGTTGCTGATGGTGATGATGTTGAAAGAATGATTGTTGTTGTTGTGGTTGCTGTTGCTGTTGAGAGTATTGCATGTGTGCCATCCCGAGGTTATAAGCATCAGCGTGTGAGACTTCTCCCGTGGCGAACTTCAGCCTCTCTACTTCCTTTTTAAGTTGCTCGTTTAATGCTGCGTAGGGAGGAACTAATGATCTTAAGAACCAAAAACAATCACATAAAAGGAGGGAAGGGGACATGTTTACATACCATCTCGCAACTTAGCTTGTTGTTCCATGACTTGTAAACGAAGCTTGAGCTCTGTATTCTCAGATGACAAACCAGTTGTGTCTCTCTGTAATAATCAAGTTATTAGACACAGTAGTAGAGGAGAATGTAATGTTACTACAAAGGCAGTATTGAAGTTTATAATAAGAAACCTGGAACAAGGAGAGTTGTGCTGAGAGGGTAGTAGCTTCAGTTTGCAAGGTCTGAACTTTCCTCTCGAGCTCCATAATATAACGAGCCTTCCTCTCTTTTGAACGAGCAGCAGATTGTCGATTAGCAATTATCCTACACAGAGTTGACGAGACATGATTAGGCAACTAGAGCATCAATCAATACAAAATGCTGACACTCAATGTTCAAAAAATTTAGAATAATACAGACTAACATATTTAGTAGTTGAGAGAACAGTCATGCTATTAATAGCAACCATTACAAGAAAGGTTCATCACAATTATGGAACTCTGAGAGTTCCAAACCAAAGCCACTTGAAACTATGAACTTTCAATTATGTACATTTGACTACTACTAAAAGGGAATGTGAAAAGGGAATCACATCTCGAAAGTTCAAATGTAAAAGGACCTGAAACATTCAAAACACAAAATCATCATTATAAAATAGGATCTCTAAAAGAACAAAAATTGTACAAGTACAACAAGCTTGAACAGACAAACCAAACAAAAAGACAATCCCAAAATATCTAGTTATAGAGGGGGGGCATCACATCATCATGAAAGAGACACATTTGCCATACAAATTTTAAAGAATCACAAAAAGAAACATACTTATGGGACCCTCATGGTCTCTCTCCACCAAAAAAGACCTAGCAAAAGCAGAACCTAACTATATTACCGTTGAAATTCAAGAATCATAGTCAAACAAAAGTAATGTAACACATCAACATCAAAAGGTCAGGTAATAAAGAAAACCATCTTTTTCCCGCGAATTGTTAAAACAAGACATATAACTCCCTAACAAGAACCAGACTTAAATAAAAATAATAATTAGTAAGAAAATAAGCAGAAAAATAAAACCTTTTAGCTCTCTTGGGATCAACGACCCAAAGCTCAGCGAGTTTATCAGGAGCCATAGCTTTCTTAGCCTCTATCGACTCCAAACTCGAAGACCCACCATCCACGGAGAGGCTGTGCCTATGCCTCGGTCTACTCGTGCTCCCACCACCGGAAAACGGGTTATCGGACCTAGGAGCGGAATCGGATCCTCCGAGTTTCTCAATGTCCATGTACGTGCAGAAGATGTCATCTTCGGATCCTCCAAGGTCCTCGAACCCTCCTCCGAACGGTTCAGAGAGATCTAGATCTTCCGGGAGACGGAACTGAACCTCGGAATGTGCTCGCCGATGGTACGGTCCCCGGAACGGCGTCGACGTCGGAGTTGGGTTTGATAGAGGCGGCGGGCATTGGTTGTTAGATTTAGAATTATCCTCCATGCCTCTTATTGGATCGTCCTTCTCTCTATCTCTGTTTCGCGCCTTCTCTCTCTCTCCTCTGTCTATCTGTCGGAATCGGACAGCGAATGAGAGATTCAGATTTCACGTTTTTTAATCGAAACGGGACCCGAACGGCGTCGTTTGGTGCTGCTTCGTTTAATTTTTATGATATTGATCAATGTTATTAAAGTCATATAATAATATAGACTTCATTTATATAGCTTGAACAGATCTTTGTTGGTTGTTTGACACATAACATTGATCAATATCATGAAAGATGTAAATTAGTTTTTCTTTGGAGATCTAAATGAACTCAGTTAAATACATTTTACATGGTTATAAAATGTACGACTTCTCCTTAATTTAAACTAGATTTCGACCCGCACAACCGTGCGGGTATTTTAATACGAAAATATTTGAAATTATATAATAAAATTTATCAATAAATAACTATAATTTGATTATTTATTCTATCCAATTTATAATCATTTTTATGTGACTTATAATATTATTAATATAAAATTTATAAATTTGTATTTTTGTAATAATTTAATTATTATGTAAGATTACTAATTTATATATTTTGTTTTATTTCTAAAGTTGAAATCTATGTAAAAATAATTAAGTTGGACCTACATAATACATAAACAAAATTTTGGGATATTGTTAAAAGTATTTTACATTATTTCAATTTTTTGTTTATAAATTAAAAATGAATTAAAATTTTAATTATATTTTATGATATTAAGATTTTAATCAAATAATTTTTGAAACTATATCTTGAAAAAGATTCTAAAAGATTTTGTTAGAATTTTCTTAAAATTATTTATTTGTATTTCAAACAAAAAATGAAAGATATGAAAAGATATTATAATGTTATGTAAAATTTTATAAAACTCTAAAGATGGTCCAAACTAAAATACCACACATGAAGTGAATCATGACTTCTCTTTTAATATAATAGATAGTAAGCCCATAATGGTAAAACATTGTTCTACCAGTATAGTATTGTCTTGAATTATAAAGCTTACTCATGTATTGTTTCTTGATTGCTGGCGTTGTGATGATGAAGAACCGTCCTGTTGCGCTCATCACAAATGTCAAACCTGGAAAGCTAATAAGAGATGTAATGTCGGAAGGACTGGTAAGAACGTTTGACTATCAATGATCAGATTATTGCGAAACTCTCAGTATCTCACTGTTGTTCTTCTTTGGTGTTCCTTTCGTTTTAGGTTCTTTGTGCTTCAAATGAAAATCACTCAGTGGTAGAACCGTTGCTACCACCTGCTGGAGCTCAACCGGGAGAGCGTGTTTCATTCTCAGGGTATGCAATGTTGATGACTTGACATCAAACATCTTTGATTGCTTTGGAAACATACTTGACTTTATTACATTTCTTGTTCGTTACAAACTCATGAACCCTTTTGTGTGGTCTGGGGTCGAAGGAAGATGTTCTGAACCCAAAAAAGAAGCAACTTGAGAAGGTGTCATGTATCGTTAGATTTATATGCATACATCAATTTATTAGATAATAGTAACTAATTTCTTAGTTATTTAATATATATATATATATATATTTATTATTTTATTTTTTATAATATTCAGAAAATATAAAAATAATAAATATAAATTACTTTTTTGTGCATAAAGTGCAAATCTTTTTAACTTAAATATATATCTCTTTAAATATTTTAAATCTTAAGAATTTTCTAAATCTCATGCCAAAACAATCAAACGAAATGAGAATAAACTTCAAAATCAATATTTATATCGAGTAATAACTAAGATAAAAAACACAAAAAGAGAAAATCATTGTAAGTAGATAGGATTGACACGAGAACGTAAATTTCTCATAACCATAATTAATTTTTCAATTGTTAAATCATGATCTCTGAGTTAATTTTTAATTTGTTAATTTTTTAATATTTAATTTTTAAATCATTAGGGATATGTACAATCATGACCATAATTAATTTTAAACTCTACATTTTAAAATTTTATTTGAAAAACTTAAAAGATTGTTTTAAAAAATAATTTTAGTTTTTTAATAATTTAAAATTTAAATTATTTTTTCTATAAAATTATTTCTCTCTTTAATTTTTTTTTCAAATTATAATTTTCTATTATTATTAGAAAAATAAATAAATTATACTAAATTAGTTTTGAAACTTTATATATTCTAAATGCGAAAATTCTACTAACTACTTCTTAAGAAATCATTAGAAAATTTGCTAATACTCTATCAATCAAGCCCCTGTAATACTCTTTTTATTTTCCATCACTCGAACACTGAAAAGCGAAAAGATATATGGAATCAGACCCAATAAATTCTAAGTTTTGATCTATAGTTTTAATTACAATTGTTTCTGATCATACGAATAGATAATTATATAAAAATTTCAAAATTCTAAAATTCCAAATACATATAAAAACAATCATATCTAAATTTTAAATTTGTTCATACTAAAATTTTACTCCCTCCGTTTTATATTAAGTGTCGTTGTAGAGAATTTTTTGTGTTATAAAATAAGTGTCATTTTCGGTTTTCAATGCAAAATTTATTAATTTTATTATGTAATTTGTTTTTCTATTGGTTAAAATATGGTTAGGTGTATGGGTAATTGTGTTTTTATATAGGAAATATGTAAAATTAATTGTTTCCTTAATCCGTGTGCATAGCTGTAGAGTGACACTTATATTAAAACAGAGGGAGTATATTTTAATTACATATATTCATCATCGTGCATGCGCCTAGGTCTTAGTTTAATACTATTGATTGATGCATGATTGATTTTTCAAATTCCGAATTTAATACACGGGCCATTTAATAAAACGAATCAGCGTGTTTAAAGTTAAATGATAAACGAAATTCAGGCCCATTGTAAAAGTCTAGCGCGAGAACCCGAGCATGATATAAAAAGCACGAGAGGATACGAATTAAAGCCTAATAATACCTTTCCACTTGCTCTCATCGGATCTCGCCTCGCCTCGCCGCCATGGTGTGGTGTAACCATTGTGCGAAGAAAGTTGAGGGATTTCGCCCAGAAGGCGGTGCTTTGTAAGTGTTTTTCGAATTTCCAGATTTGAAGGTTTCTTCTAGTTTCTAGTTAGTTATGATAATGAGCTATACGTTTATGTTCATTATGTAGGGCTTGCAATAAATGTGGGAGGATATTGGAAAACTTCAATTTTTCTGATGAAGTTACATTCATTAAGAATGCCGCTGGACAGGTTCCCAAAAATCATCCCTCTGATTCTTTAGACCTAGAAAGAGATTTGAGATTATTATTATAGTCAGATATGTTTTAGTGACATTGTTATGGCTAGAATATATATATATAAAATGTTAGTTACAAAAAAAATTATATAAAATGTTTTAAAAAAGTATTTACTGGTTCGCCGGACTGCCAGGTTTAAAGGATTTTAGCAGATTTTATCGGTTATTTTAAAAACACTGTTTTTCTAATTGCACATTTTTATTTTCTGTGACTTGCTTGCAGAGCCAAGCCTCAGGTAACATAGTGAGTAGTGTTCAGAGTGGGATTACAAGCTCTCGTGCAAGGAGAAGTCGAATAGGTATTGTCTTTTTTTGTTTTCCGGTTAGTGCATTGTTATTACCTTTGTGCCAAAATTTGATCCTTTGTTTTGTGCAGCAAGAGATGAGCTTATGAATTTGAGAGATGCCTTGCAAATTGGTGTTGACAGAGATGATGTCGTTAATATGGCTTCCCGGCTCTTTGATGTATGTTTCTGTCAGGGTTTATACATATATTCTGTCTGTCTCTTGTCACATGATTCTATAACGCTATTTAATCTATTCTCAAGATGGCAGCTGACCAAAACTTCACCAAAGGGCGCAGATCTGAACTAGTACTCTCTTCCTGTCTCTACTTGGCTTGCAGGTTGAATTCTTATTTCAGATTTCTCTCCCTCTGTTATATTTTTTTCCATTTTTGACCAAAAATCTTTCCTCATCTGCAGGTATAAGAACCTTGCTGTTCTTCTTATTGATTTTTCAAGCTACCTTCGAGTTTCCGTGTAAGTTGAGGAAATCTTTTCATTCCCCTACGTTTGATCTATTTTGTCTACTGACTAATGCGGGTAATGGTTTCATTTCAAACTTTTTTTGTGTCAGTTACGAGTTAGGTTCTGTGTACTTGAAACTCTGTGAACTGTTCTATATGGTGGATAACCCGAACCGTGAGGACCTTGAGGAGCTTGTTGATCCTTCAATCTTCATTGAACGATTCATAAAGAGTAATTATGTCCTCTTTTGGCTCCCCCACTTTTTTTCCTTTTTTTTTTAATTAGTTGGTGTGAACATCAGTCAAATACAAACAACAGTTTGTATCAAACACTTGTTTCATCATACACACACTTTTAGGCTTATTGAAAGGTGAACATGATGAAGACACAAGAAAAAAAGTCATAAAAACAACTACGAACATTATAGCTAGTATGAAGAGAGATTGGATGCAGGTGTGACTCGACTCCTCTTTTTAAGAGTTACCTTACTACATGTTCTTTGTCTTAAGAGTTAATTTCTGGCTTGTTTTAATTGTTGACCATCTATTGGCTTTGCAGACCGGCCGGAAACCAAGTGGAATATGTGGAGCAGCAATTTACATAGCTGCCCTTTCTCATGGTATCATGTGCTCCACGACAAATATTGTAAGAATATCTGATCAGCGGATATTTGTTATAAGATTAATAGAGCTTAGCAATGATGTTTCGATTTTGACGTGGATGTTTCGATTTTGACGTGTTTGTTTCTCAGGCACACATTGTGCATATGTGTGGAGCAACAATAACCAAAAGATTGAATGAGTTTGCTAATACGGAGGCTGCAAGTTTAACTGTGAGTTATTTCATTTTGCAGTATATGTTTACAAATCGTTTCTAGTTGTAGAGTAGTTATTCGCTAATTAGATATTGTGATTATGCAACCTTTTTTTTTGCCTCATATTACTTGTTGATTTTTATGTTGATTGTATTTTTAATTGTTGTACATGTTTGGCTAGGTTGAGAAGCTCAATAAAAGCGAAAAAAGTATATTGCTTGAAAAACCTTTTACGCCAAGACCAAATTCTGACAAAGAAGTAGTGAACTGTAAACATAAGAAATCAAAATGTTTTGGTTATGGATTATGTAAGGACTGTCACGAAAAGGTAAGTCTCCAGACTTTGTCTCCTTCCAATTTTTTAAAAAAAGCTTATGCAACTGGCGAGTCCTGGACAAATGGCTCCTGATAGTTGACAATCAGAAGCTTTTCTTTTCCAAATTCTTTTCCGGCAGTTCATGAAAGTTTCTGGTGGAGTTGTTGGTGGGTCGGATCCTCCTGCTTTCCAGCGAGCAGAGAAAGAGAGAATGGAAAGAGCAGCTAGAGAAGAAAACGAAGGAGGAACTGGTTAGCTTATCAAC